CAGTAAGTTCCCCATACTACAGAGCAATGAAGCACTTTTTTTTTTTTTTTAACAAAAATTAAAAGCTTGTTTATATCCTCATATCTTTGGATATCACTGAAGAGGTTGTATTATCAGTGTCTCAGTCTACTCTCTCTCCTTCTTCCACACTACCCCTTCGCCTCTCTGTACCCCTACCCCAGCATGGTCCCTTTCGGTCTGCTTAAGGTCAAGACTTGTTACCCTCGTGGGTAAAGCATTTTAAGGCAATGATGTCCTACATTCAGACTCTATAGGAGGATAGCTCACCTCCTATATTTACTCTATCCTTGGCGGGGGGTTGGCGATGGTGGTTGTGGTCATAACACCACGTTGAAATGCCCGCATTCTTCTTCTCTTATTCCTCAGAAAACAGACATGACTTGGAATTCTCTGGGAGCATTTTCGTCTTAAAGCCTAGTTTTTTGTTTTCTTTGAATCTTGTTTTAGTAATGAGTTGCAATTAAAATGTATTGGAATAGCTGCTGCCAATATCTATCCTTACAGAAATGGCAAAATTTCCTTTTCTAGCTGCTGCTCTTTGATGATTCTGTATGTTCCTTCCTTCCACAGATTATGAAAACTGGCTACCATAAATTCTAGACTAGTCATTTGTTTCCTTAACAAACCTTTCAAAGATATCACCTCTCCCACATTCCTTAGGCATAGAGGTCATTCCCCTCGTTTAGTTTCTGGAGTTATGTGGCATTTCTTAATTGAATTGCACCCTTTACTTCCACGCTCAGAGCAAAGTTCCAGGCAACAATTTCAATTCTGCTTAAGCTTTGGTCAAGGACACAGCCTTTGGTGGTTCTCAGAGGCAATGCGTTTTTAAATGACAGGTCTGTAGAAACACCAGGGGGATAATTCTGTTCTCACTTCCTCTACCATCTTTTTTTTTTTTTTTTTTCCTGGCACTTAAACATTCTCCCCTTGTGTTTCTCTCCTTATAAATTAACAAGGAAATAAAGCAGACTGTTTCAATGGATTACTTACACAATTTTTATGTGGCACGTTTAATATATTACATGCATTTTGCTTTAGGTGTTGAAATTAAATGCATTGAATAGAAAGTGAATTGAGGTGTAATTCTTTTTTAATTCAGTGTTTAAGTCTGGTCCACACCTATATTAGAATCACCTAAGGAGGCCTATTAAAAATGCAGATTTCTGGGCCTACTCCAGACCTACTGAATCAAAATTTCTGTCAGAAGTTGCCAGTAATATGTCTTCTAAGATTATTATATAATACATAATATGTAAATGATTATATTATATAAAATATATAAGAAATACTACATATATTAACAACTGTCCTCAAACGATTCTTATGAAAAGTTAAACTTTGTTAGCATTAATAATGTCAAATTTATCCTTTAGTCCTAAGGATTCACCATTGTTTCTGTTTTTAGCTGTATAGGAAAAACAAAGTGGACAGTTGAGACAGTTGACAATTAACTATGCAAGAAGTACTGAGAAAATGAAAGATAATAATCCTGTTGTCATGTGGTGTTTAATATGAATTATCTACAGAAAGACTTCAATTTGGAGCGTCACCTTTCATATGTATAAAAATGAGTTAAAGGTCAGAGGTTAAGAGACTGTAACATTTACATAAGATACACAACAGGAATTAGAATTCATAGGCTGACAGAAATGCTGGGGCTGGCCCACGGTAGAACAATAATTTATTTTGTTTGGCTCCGATTTCAACAGAGTTAAAGTGTAAACCATTAAGCTGTTCACTAGCATTTGTGAGCAACACCCCAACTAACCTCTAGAAATTGTATTAAAACAGTAAGTGTGGTTGGAGAGGAGGGGAATGACTGGCAGTGCTAATTAAATACTTGAATTAACGCTACAAAAATGAACCCAAGTTGATCTAAAATTCTCTAATAATAATAATGAAAAAAGTGCCGGAGATAAATCTTCCAGGGCATACTGACATGTAGAAATAAACAAAAAAAGGGGAGTTTTCTGCCCCTCAGATGTAAAGACGAGAGCCACTTCCATTCGACAGGCACTTCTATATGCATTAAAAAGTAAAGACACACCAAAATAAGGTTAAAAAATTGTGGTATACATTTAACATAGATATGTTTTTGTTTTTTTGCAAGAAAGATTTGCACTGAACTAACATCTGTTGCCAATCTTCCTCTATTTATTTATTTATTTATTCCTCCCCAAAGCCCCAGTACATGGTTGTATATCCCAGTTGTAAGTTGTTCTAGTTCTTATATGCGAGCCATGGCCACAACATGGCAACTGGCAACTGACAGACGGGTGGTGTAGTTCCATGACTGGAAAATGAACCTGGGCTGCAGAAACAGTGAGAGCGCTGAACTTTAACCACTAGACCATCAGGGCTGGCTCAACATAGATATGTTATGAACATTCACAGTACAATAGAATACATTTTGTTATAAGATAATTAAAGGGTTTATTAAAAAAAATCATAGTGCACTGAGGGTCTAGTTATGGGACACAAGTAAAGTTGAATAAACAGTGTTTTCTTTCTTCAATCACGTCAATGTATTTCCAACTATGTATAATTTCATTTGGAGATTATAGTCAACACGTAAATTTGAAGCTTTTCCTGAGCATGTAGCTGTATTGGTTTCCTATTGTCGTTGTAAGAAATTACCACAATTTTAGTGGCTTCAAACAATACAAGTTTATCATCTTAGTGTTCTGGATGTCAGAAGTCTGAAAATGGGTTGGCAGGGCTACATTCTTCTGGAATCTCTGGGAAAAAATCTGTTTCCTTGCCTTATCCAGCTTCTAGAAGCTTGCAGAATTCCTTGGCTCATAACCCTATATCACTCCAACTCCCACTTCCATCTTTACACTTCTTTCTCTAATTCTGACCTCCCTCTTATAAAGACCTTTGTGATTATATTGGGCCCACCTGGATAATCCAAGATACTCGCCCCATTTTAAGAGCTTTAACTTAATCACAGCTGCAACGTTCTTTTATAACGTCAGGTAATGTATTCACAGGTTCCAGGGATTAGGACATGGACATCTTTGGGAGGCCATTATTTTACCTACCACAGAAGCCCATACTCCACTCCAAGAACTTCCCTACTCTGCATGCTCTGCATTGTAATGCAGTTGGGGGTTATTTTTATTAAACTCTTCAACTGGTATCTTAAAGTGGTTATTACCAATGGGTCACAGAGGATCTCACTTTCCAGGGTATTTACTTTCAAATGCCTGTTGCAGAGAAGATACTCTCATAATGTGGCTGCTATAACTTGGTATAAAGTAACATAGAAACTACATCTTTTGCCCCAAGTATGCATAATAAGGAACTAATTATTTATATCTATATAAAAAGAAAGAAAAAAATGTTGCTTCTCATACTGTGATATACAAATGAACAATCTGTTTTTTTCAATACAAGTCTATCTGTTAAACATTGTTATACACAGCATCTAAGGATTCACAGTGAACAACAAAACTGATACATATGCTCTAAGAACAAAACTAAATAAAATAATATTCTGGCTAAAATTTGTCAAGGTTTATATATAACAATTATATAGCAATTGATATAATAAAACCTTTATTACTTTATTATATATATATCTATAATATAAGACCTTTATTACCTTTATTACTATGCTTCTTTTGCTCAAAACTAAGAAAATGGAGAATAGTTTTAACTCCACTGTTAGATTTAAAAGTGAGGTTTAAAGATCAATATTAATAGAAACAATTGTTGGATTTGCCTTTCTGCCTCTAGATAGACTCATTTATTCATTTATCCATCCAATTAATCAATAGATATTAATTGAATGCATAGTACAGACCAGATACAGGTGTGGTAGCAGAGCTACAAAGTCAAGTGTATTATGATGCCTACTTTTCAGCTAAAAGTCAGTAATCCAACAAACTTCAAGTAGAACAGAGCTAAATGTTAATTATAATAAAAGTAACAAAAGTGAAACAGTGTGCTTTCAATAATAAGATTAAATAAAAAGAAGAGAGGAGCATAAAATTTATATTTTAATTTTGTATACTTTAATCTAAACTAGGGAAAATGAGTAAAAATATTGAATTGGAATATTATAACCTAATATTTTCAAAACTTAAAAGATCCTTTTTTATGAATCTTATATTAACTATTGATGAGTGAAGATTTATAAATATGAATTAGTAAATATTTAATCATATATACTTCAATTTTCATTAATTTATTCAATCAGTAGTTCATTTAGTAAATATTTATTAAGCTTCTGTTATATTCCAGGAGGTACGTACACAACCCAAACCAAAAAAGTAAGGTCCCTGCTCTCGTGGAGTTTACATTCCAGGGAACTAATACAAAATGCTCTGATGCTCCAAATGCTTCAGCACACTTTCGTGGTAAACATTGCCAGCAAGGACAGCACTAAATAAGGGCATGATATGCTTCAGGCCTGGAATTCTTCAACTCTGGCTGTAATTCTGTGCAAGTGCCTTAAGGCATCTCTGCCATTAGGTGTGCAACCTTAAGCAAGTTACTTAAATATAACCTTGTTTCTTCCTCTGTAAAAGGGAAACAGTAATATTTGGGTTCTCTTGGAGATTAAATGAGATAATGTGTCCATTGTTCAGCAATTATTAGTATTATTGCTTTGGCCTTGTGGTTCCAAAAATGTGCTTGCTCATTAGAGTCACCTGGGGATTTTTTTTTTAAAAACATTCCAAAGCCCAGGCCACACACCAGACCAATTAAATCCCAATCTCTGGGGCTGGGACGTAGGCATTAGCGCTTTTTGAGCTCCCAAGGTAGTTCCAACTCGCAGACAAATTTAGGACCCCCAGCAGTTTGGCGTATTGATGTTTCAGAATAACATTTGCCCATCCACCTGTCTTCACCAGAGGTGGAACCAGGAAGCCTGACGAGTTTAATGAAGGATAATCGAGGTGCACATCTCTCTGTTCCATCCTGTGACTTGAATCCAAATCTCTTCCAAATCCCCTCAGGGGAGAGGGATGGGAGGGAGTCCTGAGCGCTACTGCCTACGCACAGCTGTTGAGTTTAATGGGACCCTTAGGCTTATAAGGAGGGCTGGCTCTTCCACCTGCGGCGACTGCTGGGCTCGCGGGAGAAGTGGCGAGCCGGGGACGGCAGCCCTCCCGGGGGCGCTGGGCCGGGCGCAGAGGCCGCAGACACGCCGACGGGGAAGATCGGCGGCCGGC